GGAAAAGTCTCGCAGCCTCCTGAACCCCTCTCTGTTTCCTTCGGGCTTTCACAAGTTAAGGGGCTCTTGCACACAGGCCGGGTCCTGTAGGGGAACAGAGAGTTCTTTAGCTGGAGGCTGTGGGCAACACTGCTCATGTTTCCACGAGAGAGAAGCCCCGTGCACTGACTTCCTAGCCCTGTCCCCGACTTGGCCAGAAAACAGCATGTGGAGCCCCTCCTGGCCCTCCCAGTCTGTGGCCCCAAAAGCAGAGCAGCTTAGTGGGGGCTTTTCTGAGAAGCTGCTGAGCTCAGACCCTGCTGGCTCCACATTCCTGGATGATGAGGGAGGGATTCCAGTGTTTACTTTGAACAATGTTTTCCTGTGTCTGAATCTACTGGGTGTTAAATTCTTCCAGATTTCCGGCTCCACGTTGCAGCTCCAACGGGACAGAAACAGGTTTACGGCATTTGGCAAGGGAACGAAAGCAGGGTGCATCTGGGCACCTTCTGCGTGTAGAATTTCCACCCTGTGGTTGGAAATGCTGTTAGCGCCTGCTCTGTGGGCCCCATGCCCAGGCAGGGTTTGTTGTGGTCTCAGTTCACAGAGCTCTGCTCTTGTGCCTTTCACATTTCCCACCCTAGAGGGCAAAAGTTAGCGTTTCTTTTTTGAAAACGCATCCGGGAACAAGAACAAGCTGAGTTTTTGGAAGGTGAGGGCTTGCAGTGTTTTCCCGGTGAGTACAAACCCAGAAGTTAGGCTCATAAGGAATTCATCTGGTGGGATGTGTTAGGAAACTTCAGTGCATTCCATTTCCTGGGGACTGTTGTGCCAAGAGGTTTCACAGACATGCAGGAGGTTCGAGCTGGAACGGAGACAGGGTGAAGCAGACCTCAACCCTCGTTTTTACTCAGCAGAAAACTGAGGTACAGAGAGGCAAAGTAGCACGAGGGCTGGGAGGCTGGACTGGAAGGGCCCATCCCCAGTGCACCTGGTTCGTTCTCTCAGTGCTGTGCAGTGAGTAACCTGATGATGGTAACTGTAACTATTGCCATCTCTGACCACACAGCCATGCAGGGCTCCAGGAAACACTCTCCCCTTTATTAAGTGTTGGTAAATCAGTGGCTTTAACGATACAGAAAGCCTCAGAAAACAAACAGGATGGATACCAAATTAAAGGCACTCTTTGGGTCCTCCATGCACAATAGTTTCTGCATTCTTGTGTTCTGGGCTGGTGAGGAATTCAGGGAAAACTCCCATAGGACCCCATGATGACTGGGGATCCACAGAGTCTTTGGTGAGGTGCCAGCCTCTAGGAAGGCAGCTGTCAGCCTCTGAATCAGAACAGCCCAAATCCAAGTCAGGTATGGGAGGGATGATGGCCTTAAAACTGATTCCATTCTAGACCCTGTGCTGTTGGATTCTGGAAACCTATTCTTGAGCCCTATGTGCCTCTGTGTGTTTGTGCCTGTGTGTGTGTGTGTGTGCGTGTTTGTGTGTGTGTGTGTGTGTGTGTGTGTGTGTAAGGAAAGGAAGATTAGTGGCAATCTTCCTGGGTCCAGGGCCTAGGTGGGGCCCAAACAGTGTTTATGCAGTAGGTTTGGATAAAATAGTCCCATGATAGAGCCTGACATTTTGATCTGGTTACTTGCACAAAGCCATTTTGGTGCCAAGAACATTTTTACTTAGCCTTCAAAAGAAACCGTGAAAACGGCAGCTTTCTATAACTCTTAAGTAATGTGCAAGGCAAGCACCCTAACTCCATCTCTGAGCCTTCCCTCTGTACCTTGCTCCCCATCCATACCCCACCTGGAATCACTCTGGCCACACTAGTGTAGCCACTGTGTCAAAATGGACTTGTCAAAGCTGCTTTGTTAGAAGGGCAACTTCATTTCTGGCTTGTCAAAGCTGCTTTGTTAGAAGGGCAGCTTCATTTCTGTGGTATGTTACAGACCTAAAGTCTTTACTTACATATAGGTTCCCTTACTTTAGTAGAAATGGTGTCCCCTAGATACGGAATGGGGAAGAAGGAATTATGCAGTGAAATTTCTCCCACTGCTGCCAGCGTAGAAGCCCTTCTCTGTCTCAGTTTTGTGAATGCGATTTTTCCTTGGGATGTCTGGTAGGGGGCTTTGTGTTGGTTGTCTCTTGGTGGGTAACAAAGCACCCCAAAGCTTAGTTGCCTTAAACAAATATTTGTTAACTCACAGCTTCTGTGGGCCAGGAATCTGGGTGTGTCTTAGCTGTCTGCCTCTGTCTCAGAGTCTCTCCATGAGGCTACAGTCATGGTTTTGGCTGAGGATGAGGTCTCATCTGAAGGCTCAACAGGAGGAGAATCCATTTTCAAATTCACTCACATGGGTATTGGCAAGATTAAGCTCCTCACACATTGTTGAACTAAAAGCCCCAGTTTCTTGCTACCTCTTGCCTGGAAACCCCTCTTAATTCCTTGCCACATGGGCTTCTCCACAGGGCAGCTTGTAATATGGGAGCTGGCTTCCCTCAAGAGGAATGAGAAAGAGAGTGTGAGAGAGTACTCAAGATGGAAGCCAACTGTTTTATGACTTAATCTCAGAAATGACATTCTATTACTTTGACCATATTCTGTTTATTGGAATTGAGTCATTAGATGCAGTTCATACTCAGGGAAAGGGATTTCACAAGGATGTGAATACCAAGATGTGAGATTATTGGGAGGTGTCTTACAGCCTGCCTAGGAAAGGCCTTATGGGCCCAATTGCTGTTCACCCCATGGGCTCTGTTGCCCTTGCAGTTCTGATAAGATATGAGTTGTGAGGGGCAGAGGAAAATGATTTCTATGTTCACCCTTACTCCTCCTGAGAGGTAGATAGCTCTGTTGGCATAGCATCTAGAGGCTTCTCAGGGGCAAATAATCCCGAGTTTCTAAACTATTTAGAGTTACATTTACCCTCCACTCTCCCATCCCATCCCAGCTCTGCTCCTAGGAAAGCAGATGAACCCAAGACAGCATCCACAGTGGCTTTCCCTTTCCCTATGGTCTCTGTCTCTCTCTGAACCATGTGACACTCTGCTCTCTCTAGAGTTCATCTAGTCCTCACGTTGGATGCCAATGTTATCTAGCTTTCTTGTTTCCGGAATAAACTCCCAGTCATAAATCACAGAACAGTATTTGTACCAATAGTTCAGGGTTCTTGGTGTTTACCAGAAAAGCTAACGGTTATACAGCTCCTTATGGATCACGGAATACTTTTACTTACCTCAACTGGGTCATCATCACATCCCATAGGGCAGGAGGTTTCCCATCTTGGGGATGAGGAAACAGGTTCAGAAAGGCTAAGGAACTGCTCAAGATTAGACATAATGAGGTGAAGCAGGGTTTCAATGTGAGTTCTCCTACCTTTGAATTCTGTGCTCCACCCTGCAGCCCCTTGATGCTGTTTGCAGACCTGAGTCTACAGGTTACTTCCAGTAGGAATCTGGCAAACCTTCTTGGCTCAGTTTTGCTCAAGTCATTCTAGACCAGGGCTGCAATGATCTGAGAAGAGAAATAGAACTCAGCTGGGACAAGGGACATCAAAGCTAGGGTGAGGGAGAGCAGACATGGCTGGTGACTTAGGGAGTTACACAGGCACGTGCATGTGTACATATGTATGTGCCTATGTGTGTGTACGCATTCATGCATGAACGTGTATGTGGCTTGTAGATTCTTTCTCATGCCAGTGACTGTATGGATGTTCTGCTCAGGGCTGTGTGTACATGTGCACTTGTGTGTATTGCTGCCTGTTGGCTGGAAACCTCCCTCAGTTAACCTATGCACTTATGTGGCTGCAAGTGGACAGATTCCTGGGCTCAGGGATGGGCTCTGGAGATGCCTTTCAGTGAGCAGATGGTATAAACAGGACTCTTGGGACATGAACAGTCGGGTGGCTGGGGAGGGATGGGTGAGATGTAGGGACAGCACTGTGGCAGCAGTTGTGTTGAAGGCTCCCCTAAGCCTGTCTTCTGACCTCCTATGGCTCCAGTCCCTTCCCTGATCTTCAACGTAGTGACTCAGTTTTGGCGAGATGTATCTTGGTACAAATTTCTCCAGCCTGAACATTGGACTGCACTGTTTTGGCATTGCAGCAGACATCGCCATCCTGCATTTTAATGATGATAACAGTCCAGCCAATAGGCTCTTACCATGTGCCTGTGCCCTGTGCCCTCTGCCCAATCTGTATGTGAATTATCTCATGAAATCCTCATGGCACTCTAGGGATAGTTTCTCTTACTGCCTCTGTTTTACAGCTGAGAACACTGGAACTTCTGAATTTTAACTATCTTGTTCCTTGTTCCTGGTCACACAGCTAAGTTACTGACCTATCTTGAACTTGTGCTCTGAAGTGTATGCTACACTTTCTCCCAAACAATTGCAGTTTTACTGTTTTGGAAACTTTGGTGAATTCTCCTATCAATTACCGTCTTCAGATTTTGAAATCCATACACAGTAATATTGCAGAACCGCACTAGAACAGTAAAGAGAGGATGGTTTTTCTGCAATGCTGCATGAGGGTGGCTTTTAAAGGCTAGGCCTTTGTTGGGAGAGGATGCCACACAACACACTCCATGACTGGCCTAAACTGGACTTTAAAAGTATTTGATGCATCCCTCTACCGTGCCAAGAAGACACATTAAACCCTTGTTGTTTAATTGGATTTCTGACTCAACAAAAACTCCTTTTGTCAGAACTTCAGGATTTCCTGGCATGTTACCCACACATATTTTCTGTGTGGACAGTTATGTTTCATTGTATACTATTGGGGTATATTTGTGCCTAGAAAGACTCATTTGAAACAAATAATTAAACGTTTCTGCCCAATTTCAAGAGGCATCTTTTGTGACTTCTGAATAAGGGACAATTGCTATATTAATTTTTAATTGTGTGCAACAATTTGTTATGTATTTAAGTGTTGATTCTCCCTTCATCCCCAAATCATTCATCTTAGTTAAATTAGATTACATGTTTTGCCAGTTAACCGTCCTCATTCTGTGTTTCTCAGGGACCCAGTGAAATGAGTTGCATCAGAGGCTTGAAGAAAGAGTTTTCAGCTGGGAGAAGAGAGGAAGGCAAGTTAATCAGAACAAGGTAAGCAAGTCTGGCCTTGGGTTTTGAACAGAGTCTGTCCTCCCAGTGGGCCAAGAGTTGCCTGGAATTTAAAGATCTCAATTCTGAGCCTTAAAAACACAATTTAAGGAGAGAGGGGGGGGGGAGGAAAGAAAGAAGAAGGAGAAGAAGAAGAAGAAGAAAAGAAGAAGATAGAGAGAAAGAGAAAAAGAGAGAGACATGTACCAACAAAATAACACATAATGGACTAGATGGTCCTGATAGATAAGGTTTAGATAAGATACTTGGGAGCAGAGAGGAGGGCCTGTCTATTCCACCTAGAGGCCTGGGCCAACCTCTCAAAAGAAGTATCACTGGAGCAATCCTGGAAGGAGATATGAAGGGCATGTAGAGGAGAGACCATGGTGTGAATTTATAGTAATTATGAGGAAAGAAACTCCATGCATGTGAAAAAGCAGTTAATATCCATTAACAACATACAGAGGATAGCCCTGGAGCTGCATTTGGTGGCGATGACACCTGGGCCTGGTAAGAGCACGTATCAGACGAGGTGAGGATAGAAATGGAGGTTCGAAGGGGAAGCCGTGTAGAGCTTGCGTTAGAATTTGGTACATTTAGGTCCCCTGGACTTTGTCATATTATACAGGCTTTCATTTGTTCTTTCAACAAAGCGTGAATCCAGGACTGTCATGGGTCTATGTGCTTGAATTCTTGCTCCTTACTGGGCACCTGCGATGTCTCATTCAGTCTTCACAATAATCCCACTGGGAGGCGTATCATTCCCATTTTATGGATGGGGAAAACTTAAAGCTCAGGGAGAGATAGGGCAATAGATGTGCCCACTTAAAAGCAGGAAAGAGCAGTGCTGGGATTTGAACCCAGGCCTTTCCAATGACTCTATTTGTTTGTCATAATTCTCAAAATAATATCTCATCTTTTGCCATTTTACCTTTTCTAGCAGTGGCTACTGCCTAGTCAGCCAGTCTGTGGTTTTCATTTGTGTTCCATACAAGTGTGCCACTGCTGGATATTTGGATTTTCAGTGATCCCTGGAGACTCCAGGAGAAGGTGCTTATGGCAATTGCAGTAAAGTGCATTTTTCTGATGATTTTGACTCAAGTGCCTGGGGACAGAGCAATGAATGTGTTGGATGGGATTGCTGCTCTCATGTGGCTTATATTCTAGTTGGTTAAAATAAAATAAATGAGTAAATCATAAGAAATGTCAGACAAGGATAGTGTTAGGCAGAGGATTAAAATAGGAGACGTGATAGTGACTGGTGGTAATGTTAGTTCTTCAGGGAAGGCTGAGGAGTTGACATTGAGGCTGAATCCTGACTTAATCAGAAGGAACAAACCATGTGAAGGTCAGGGACATGTGCATCCCAGGCAGAGGAAGTAGCTGGGGAAGGACCCTAAGGTGGGAACAAGCTTGATGTTTTTAAAGAAGAGAGACAAGGCCAATGTGGCCGGGTACAGTGGGGGATGGGGGGAGCCGCTCTGCCTAAGGCTGGGAGGGGAGGCAGGGGCCAGATGAAAGAGGGTTTGCAGGCCAGCATAAGGAACTGGCATTGGCTTTTAAATGGAGGGAGAGCCATGGGAATGTTAGGCAAGGGGATGATTTAATCTGATCATGCTTAAAAATAATCACTCTGGGTCCTCTTTGGAGAAGGAGTTGTAGGGTATATTAGTCCATTTTCATACTGTTATGAAGAAATACCTGAGACTGGATAAGTTATACAGGAAAGAGTTAATGGATTCCCAGTTCCACATGGCTGGAGAGGTCTCCACAATCATGGCAGAAGGTGAAGGAGGAGCAAAGTCTCATCTTACAAGGCAGCAGGGAAGACAACATGTGCAGGGGAACTGCCCTTTATAAAACCATCAGATCTTGTAAGATTCATTCACTCTCACAAGAGCAGCATGGGAAAAACCCATTCCCATAATTCAGTTACCTCCCATCGCATTCCTACCACAACATGTGGGGATTATGGGAGCTACAGTTCAAGATGAGATTTGGGTGGGGACACAGCCAAATCATATCATAGGGGAATGATAGTGGAAGCAGGGAGACCAGTAGCAGGTGTTCAGTAGTTAAGTTAATAGATGTCAATGTCTTGGTGGAGGCTGGTGGTGTAGAGAAATCAAATCATGGTGGGGTTGTGGGAAGATAATGGGCTGGAGATATTGAATGAAGAAGCAAGAGAAATCGAAGGAAACCTTAGATGTTTGAATTGGGCAATTTGATGAATGATGATGCCTCTTTCTGAGATGGAAGAGACCAGAGAAATATTTTATGGAGTAAAGTTAAGAGTCTTTTTGAACCATGAAAAGTTGGAGAGCTTATTAGATATATAAATGAAGATGTAGTATATTGGTAGTTGGATATATATATATATATATATATATATATATATATATATATCTGGACTTTGGGAAAGAAATCAGTCTAGTTAGATTTGGCATATTGATGAGATGTAAAGCCACAAAATTGGTTGACATCACTTTGGGAATGTGTGGAGAAAAAAAGAATAAGAAGAAGAAGAATAAGAAGAAGAAGGAGGAGGAGGAGGAGGAGGAGGAGGAGGAGGAGGAGGTGAAGGTGAAGGAGGAGAAGGGGAAGAAGAAGAAAGAGACCCAGAATTTCTCAGTGGAGACTGAGAAGCAGCTTGCTGAGTGATGTTAGTGGGAATCCACTCCTGTGGCATCATGGAGGCCAGATAGAAGAACATTTCAAGAATGTGAAAGTGAGTGCTCAGCTCTATGACCATTGCATTTTGGAAGGTAGACGGGTAGAGACCTGGGGTGCAAGTGGAGAGGTGTTATTTGACAGGAATAGGGATGCTTTATTCATTGTAACAGGAAAGAAGGCAGACTGCAGGGGAGCATATAGTGGAGGGTTGGTATGAGTGATGGCAGGAGGTGAGGAAGTTCTTGATGGATTCTTGGGTTTTTCTCAAAGCAGGACAAGACAAAGAAATTAATCTTCAATGAAGGGAGAAGGAGGTAAAGAGGAGGTTTGAAATAGTTGCTTGGTGGGAATATAAATTATTTAACGTCTATGGAAAACAGAATGAAAATTTCTCAAAGAACTAAACGTAGAACTACCATTGGGTACAGCAATTCCACTACTGGGAATCTACAAAAGAAATAGAAATCGTTTTATCAAAAAGACATCTGCACTCATAGGTTTATCCCAGCACTATTCACAATAGTTTAGTCATAGAATCAACCTAAATGTCCACAAATGGTTGACTGGATAAGAAAAATGTGATATATATACATGCCATGGAATACAATGCAGCCATAAAAAAGAATGAAAGACTATCCTTTGCAACAACATAGATGGAACTGGCGGCCATTATTCTAAGTAAACTAACTCAGAAGGAGAAATCAAATATCACATGTTCCCATTTTGACTGGGAGGTAAACAGTGTGTACACATGGACATAAAAGTGAGGATAATAGACACTGGGGACTCCAAAAGGGAGAAGGAAGAGAGGAAGGTGAGGGTTGAACAATTACCTATTGGGTACAGTGTTCAATATTTTGGGTGATGGGTTCACTAGGAGCCCAACTCCACCGTGACATGATATATCCATGTAACAAACAGGCACACAGACCCCTGAATCTAAAATAAATATGATGCTAAAAAAGAAATAGTTGCTTGGAGAGTGGAAAAGTGAAAAGAGTAGGAAACGGGAAGTGTTGGTTGGACTAGTTCTGTTGATTGACTTGGAGATAGAGGATTAGGAGTGTGGAATTAGGCTGGGTATAGTGTCTCACACCTGTAATCCCAGCACTTTGGGAGGCTGAGGCAGGCAGATCACAAGGTCAAGAGATCGAGACCATCCTTGCCAACATAGTGAAACTCCGTCTCTACCAAAATACAAAAATTAGCTGGGCGTGGTGGTGCACACCTGTAGTCCCAGCTACGCGGGAAGCTGAGGCAGGAGAATTGCCTGAAGCTGGGAGGGGAGGTTGTAGTGAGCCGAGATCGAGCCATTACACTCCAGCCTGGTGCCTGGCGAAAGCGTGAGACTCTTGTCTCCAAAAAAAAAAAAAAAAAAAAAAATTCTGTGGATAGACTGCCTGAGGCCTATTCCTGTTTTTTGTCACTCAATCATTGTGTGACCTTGTAATGGGATTAATGCAATAGTACCTAAGGCATATGGGTTTTGTGAGGATTGAACTAGTTACTATGGTAAGATGCTTAGTGTGTGCCCTGGTTGCAGCACATGGCGTAGAGTTGTTAGCTGTTATTCCATGTGGGGCCCCTAGGCCTAGTGGTATTTGTCTTCCACCATGTTTAGTTGCTGAGGTGGCGGCACCCAAAAGATCCCCACACGTGGATGGAACTGGTATTAAGGCTTTGCCATGCAAATATGTGTTTGCACAGCACATGGGAGAGGGATAAGGGCTTCAGGTTGTTTGCAAGGGACCATAATGAGGAGCTGTGTATCAACAAGATAAAGCAGGAAGCGGGACACAAATGGGAGATGGAAGGGGAGGTAGAGTGAGTGGATTGAAATCCAGGAATTGTGCTGCTGAGGACTGGGAACTGCTTGGGGACTGAGCTGGAGGGATACAGGAGGGAAGAGTAAGAGTGAGATGCTCGCAGCTTAGATTTCGGATGTAGCGTGGTTATGGGGATGATAAGAACAATGGGCTGATCACAGAGGCAGCGGTGATGGAGGCTGAGAGGAAGACCTGGTGACTGGAAGTGGGCAGGTCGAGGACTGCTGGGCTGGAGGTTTGCACGGATCATTCAGGAGACATTGAAGAAGCCACGGTGATGACAGAGTAACAGCACAAAGGAGGTGAGCATGCCTGGAGCTCAAGTTGTCAGGGACTGAGGGGCAGAGGACAGCGCTCAGAAGCTGGCAGCAACCAGGCAGGTGAGCCGGCCTTGTAGCTGGGGGTATGGGCTCCAGAGGAGGAGGAAGGAGAATGGTTTGAGGGTGGCAGTTGTGGGTAAGGAAAGTGACTGCCTCCAGGTTCCGGGACAACCCTTCTTTGAGA